TCAACCTGTATCCCATACTGGTTGGCATCTTGTGAAACTTCTTCGATCTATTCAGTCATAGTTGCTCACTTAACTCCATTTGTGCCACCACAAAATCTAGCGCATAGATCTTACGTAATTGTTGGTCCACTTCTGCCTTCCCTGCTAGGCCAAATTCCTTAAGGGCTTGAGGATGTTTTTCTTTTATCCATGTATTCCCAGTTCCTGGCATGTAGTATGTGTTCAACAAATGACTGAGTGAATACACCTACCCTCACGTATTTTTTCACTTAATTTTTTAAATTAAATTTATTGGAGTGCCATTGGTTAATAGAATCATAGGTTCTAAGTGTGCATTTCCATGATACAAAATCTGTGTATTGCTCTGTGTGCCCACCACCCCAAAGTCAAACCATCTTCTGTCACTGTTGTCTGTCGGTGTTTCAGTTTTTATTTTTGTTATTCCTCACCCAAGGATATTTTTTCACTCATTTTTTTTTTTTAATCCTAACCCAAGGATATTTTCTCCATTTTTAGAGACAGTGGAAGGGAGGGAGGGATGGGGGAAGAGAGAGAAACATCTATGTGTCTCTCTCACATTGATTGGTTGCCTCCCACACAGCCCCAACAGGTACAGGGATCAAACTAGCAACCCAGGTGTGTGCCCTTGATGGGGAATCAAACCCAAGGCCCTTTGGTGTGTGGGCCAGCACTAACCACTGAGCAACACTGGCCAGGGCGAGTTTCAGTTTTTATATCTCACATATGAGTGAGGTCATGTGGTTCTTAGCTTTTTCTGACTGACTTATTTCTCTTAGCATAATATTCTCAAGGTCTATGTTGTTCCAAATGGCAGTAGTTTGTGTTTCCTCATGGCTGAATAATATTCCATTGTATATATGTACCACATCTTTATCTAGACATCTACTGAAGGACACTGGTTGTTTCCATGTCTTAGCCACTGTGAATAGTGCTACAGTAAACACAGGAGTGCATATATCTTTGTGATATATATATCTACATATATATCTACATGTTTTCAAGTAGATACCCAGAAGATATTGCCAGGTTGTAAATTTTTTGAGGAACTGCCAGGCTGTTTTCCATAGTGACTGTACCAGTCTACATTCCAACCAGCAACGAATGAGGGTTCCCTTTCCTCCACAACCTCTCCAGCACTTGCCATACATATCTTGTTGATAATAGCCATTCTAACAGGTGGCATCTCGTAGTTTTGATTTGCCTTTCCCTACTAGCTAGTGAAGTTGAACATCTTTTCATATAATTGTTGGCCATTTGTATGTCTTCTTGGGAGAGGTGTCTGTTCAGGTCCTCTGCCCATCTTTAAATTGGATTGTTTGTTTGGTGTTGAGTTTTAGGAGTTCTTTATATATTTTACATATTAAACCCTTGTTGGAGCTGTTGTTTGCAAATATCTCCAATTTGGTTGGTTGCTTTTCTGTTTTGTTGTTGATTTCTTTTGCTGTGCAGAAACTTTTTAGTTTGATATAGCCCCATTCATTTATTTTAGCCGTTAATTCCCTTGCCTTTGGGGTCAAGTTCATTAAATGTTCTCTGTGACTAAGTTCCATAAGTTTAGTTCCTATGTTTTCTTCTATGTAATTTATTGTTTCAGATCTTATATTTAGGTCTTTGATCCATTTTGAGTTAATTTTTGTACATGGGGACAAACTGTAACCTAGTTTCATTCTTTTGCATGTGGCTTTCCAGTTTTCCCAGCACCATTTATTGAAGAGGCTTTCTTTTCTCCATGTGTGTTTCGGGCTCCTTTGTTGAAAATTACCTGCCCATATACATGTGGTTTTATTTCTGGGCTCTCAATTCTGTTCCATTGACCTGTGTATCTGTTTTTCTGCCAATACCTCACTGTTTTGATTATCATAGTTCTGTAGTATAATTTGAAGTCAGGTATTGTGATACCTCTGGCTTCATTCTTTTTTCTTAAGATTGCTTTGGCTTTTCAGGGTCTTTTGTGGTTTCATACAAATCTGATGATTTTTTTGTTGTTCTATTTCTTTAAAAAATGACATTGGGATTTTGATGGGGATTGCATTGAATCTGTATATTGCTTTGGGTAATATGGCCATTTTAACTATTTTGATTTTTCCAGTCCATGAACACGAATACCTTTCCATTTCGTTGTGTCTTTTTCAATCTCTTTTACAATGCTTTGTAGTTTTCAGTATATAGGTCTTTCACATCCTTTGTTAAGTTTATTCCTAGGTATTTTATTCTTTTGGTTGTAATCACAAATGGAATTTTTTTTTCTTTTTTCACTTATAATAGTGTCTTAAGTCTCGACAAGAGTTCACTGTCTCAATCGGTGTTCAAGATCCCTTTCCCTCAGTGACTCAAGTGTGTATGTTTATTTTCTGTTTCATTTTAAGGTAAAACATATTTTAGTTAAAATATCCTAAATTCTCACTATCTCCATCTACTACCCTTGCTTCTTTACCCTTTTCCCAAAAAGAGTAGTCTATGAATGCTGTCCGTATGCTCACTTCCCATTCGCTGTTTAGTTGCAATCTAGCTTTCAGCTCTACTATTTCAATGAAATTTCTCTTACCAAAGTTATCAATTAACCAAACACCAAATCGAATGGACTATTCCTATTCCTCAGACTTCTTGTTCTCTCTTTATACTTTACCCCTTTGATTTCTTTTTCTAAAGAAACTCACATTCCTCCTATCTTTCTGGCTATTTCTCAGTCTTCTTTTCAGGTTCTTCTTTGTCCACCATTTAAATTTTCTTCAGCCTCCTGTCATTGTACCTCATTTCACAGTACACAATCTTCTCAGGTGAGGTCATCTTGGGTGGCTCCAATTCACCTCTCTATTGCTGAGCTCCACACTCATAGATTCACTTAATTTCTGGCTAATATCCCTTGGACATTCTACAGACAAACTAGATAAACATATCCAAACACTTTAATCTTCCCTGCTCACTAGTGCCTTCTTTATTATATACTTTGTCCACCATAGCTATGTCAGGGACACCTTAAAATTGCCCCTAAGCTTTCTTTTCCTCTAATACATGGTCACTATATTCTTGTGCCACTGCCTTCATTAAGGCCCTCATCATATCTCTTATCTTGAGTTCAACACCTTCCTGTGATCACCCTGCCTACATTCTCACTCTCCTCCAATCCCTCCATCCATAATACCTCTGCCAGGTTAATCTTCCTAAAACATGATTTTCATCCTTTCTGTTACTTAATCAAAAAGTTCCGTGTCTCCCTGTTACCAATAGAATACAGCCCACTTACCTTTCCAGCCTTATATCAGCAACTCCCCTACAAAGGTTTCTACTGCATCCAAGCTTGGTACCTCTCTTTCTGCCTTTTGCTTGCTGGTGCCATTTCTCAAGCTTGGAGTGCTCACCTTCTCCTTGAACATGTATCCTGAATCTTCTTCAGCCTTTAAGGCCAGCTTATAAGCTGCTTCTTCCCAGAACATTCCAGTCTACAGTGATAATAGCCTAATACACCTTGCAGTTTACAAAATGCATCTGCCTGAGAAGTCAACACTCTCAGCTCTATTTTATGAATGAGAAAATTGAGACACAGAAAGTTGAGTGACTTGCCAAAGGATATGGAGCTGCTAAGATAAAGAGCTTAGTCTTTAGCCCCCTCTCTCTCTCCAGATCGTCTGCTTTTAACTCAGTGACAACCTCTCTGACCTCACAGCATTATGGACTTCATTACTTCTTCAATCCTTAATCACATAATGCCTATGACCAGCAGAAAGGGGCCTTGAGGGTGCGGGGCAAGATCTAAGAAAGATCATCCTCTATTTGACATTAAAACTGGTCAGTAAGTGTACAAGGGATGAGCCAAGCAAACTGGTAACTACCCTGGGATAATGCTCTGTGAGTTAAGTAAGGTAAGCTGGGTAAACTCTTGGGAATGACAGGTATCCTGTA